TGTGTGTGTGTGTGTGTGTGTGAGAGAGAGAGAGCGAGCACAGGGAAGAAGAGGGCGTCAGTGTCAAAGCGGAGACTTCACGTGTGTAAGTCTCCCAAATGAAAAAGAGGGATATTGTGTTCACAGAAGTACTTTTCATCATCACTGCATCGACATGGTGATTCTCTTTCATTTTGCCGAGTGCCTCTCACATCAGTCGGCTACTTAAAGCAAAAAATGCAACACGCTTCCTGCAAAGAGAGCCCCAGGTGGGGTTTTCTGAAAAGCTTGAGAGCACAGAGGACAGATCTATTTTTTTCCAGCTTGAAATGGACTTAATGCGTGAGCTGTTCACCTCTTCTCCCCAGGAGCTGCTAATGGCAAAAGAAGCATCTCCTCATGTTATATGTATATTTTTATTCCCTCTTCAAAGTGAAAATGACATAAAATATATAATATGAGGATTGTTGAAGCCCTGTCCACAAACAGCTATTTACCAGATGATGAGGATATTAAAAGAATGTGCAGTTCCTCCCTTCAGCATAATGTCACAAAGCGTGCTGTCTTTATTTGCTGACCTATAACCAACATCTCCATGTAGCTCCATTCTCCTGCTCCACACACTCTCAGCTGGTGGGAGGCAACATCTTCGATATAATGCAAATATTATGATCTCTGAAGCACCTTGCACAGCAGGCAACGCCACCATCCAGATATATTAGCCTTATTTTCAAATTAAACACGTTAAATCACTTTATAAACTGCTTTGCTGTGATCAGTCTAACCTTTAAGACGATGAGTACCAGGTTCCAACAGGACAAGAAGTCAGAAAAAAGTCATATTACAGCCATTTTCACACAAAAAAATCACAGTTTTAGTGAAAGCTGTTTGAGGGGGCAGGGGCTGCTGAAAGGGCTGGTCTGTATAAATTATTGCAAAACTGCAAAAAATGATGAACTGGAATGAGCGTGTTCCTCCACCTTTTAAATTATTTAATTGTCTTATTCTGACTCCTCACCCGAAAATCAGTTTGGCACACCGACGCTCCTTACAGGTTTTATCTAGGTGAGCATATTTTCAACTCTCCATCCCACTTCATGTCCGAACACCATGTAGAGCTCCTGTTATTTCCCCACAGGGACTTCATATATTGTGATTTTATCACAGCCTATTGTGGGGGGGGGGGTCAATTAAACAGTGCCACACGGTGCAAAGTGACCTCGTGGTGCCCTGTGGTGTCTTTTGCATATTCATTTCTTTAAGTTTGATCTTTCTTATTTGTACCTGTGGTGTTTGTCTTTACACAAGCAGAACGATCATTCTCCACTCATCGAGATGGAATGCAATCCAATCTCCAGTCTGCTGTGCGCCCACAAATCCGCGCGTAATGGTAACAACTAGCAGGGAGCCACGAAAAGCTTATAAAAAAAGGTTTTTAAAAACTTACCGGGTTTAATTCCTCCGTTTAGCTGCTTTTTTCCTCTTCTCTTTTCATAAAAGCGCAGCACATCAGTCAGGGAATCCCGCCAGCCTTGTCCTTCATTTACGCACGTTAAGAAATACAGAGTGGTTACATTCAGAGGGAGCAAGCGGAAAGCTTCTGCAGGTGTTACCACTGAGAGGCGAAGCCAGCGAGCATCCAGAGCCGCTTTACTCTCACATGCCCGGAAAACATGAGCGACTCAGACTCTGGTTTTCTTCTCTGCAGAAGAAGCAGAGCGCTTTGCTCCAGAGTTCAAACACCAGGATGCATAAAAAGTGTAAGAAAAGACTTTTGTACCGGCGGAACTCCCATCTGATGCGTCAGGACGCATCTCATTGTGAGCTTTCTCCAGCGACAACTAAACCCCTGGTGTGAGGGGGGGGGGCTTCCCGGTGCTGATGCGAACCATCCAGCTCCAAAGGGGGGAGATAACACAGAGACGTCAACGAGAAACAAGTAACACTCAGAACTGCGTCTGTGGGAGGTTTTCATGGCAGTGCTGGGTGTCCATAACACACACACACACACACACACACACACACACACACACACACACACACACACACACACACACACACACACACAC